AGCCAAAAAAAAGAAAGAAAGAAAGAAAGAAAAAAGAATTACTACATTTTAAGGTAGTTTGTGAAACACAGCAGGCTTCCAGAACATAAGTCCAGAAATTATTTTTTTGGGGGGTGGTCTTAGGTTTTATTTTTATTGTTTTTAATAAAATTAGCTTGAACGAATTTTCTACTGGTTAGAAAAAGCAAAATGTAAAGACAGGTAAGTACAGCCTAGAGTCTAAAACTCTAGGCTTAGAGTTCATACTGAAACTCAAAGCTTAGACTACTGTTCTCTCCAATGTAAGTGAATAAGAAAATGTTATTCTTTTTATTTTGAATGTTCCACTCTAGGCAAAGCAGTTAGTGATAGACCAGCATCTTCACGCAAACCAGCCTAACAAGACTGGTGAGGAGCAAAGTTCACATTGAATCTCCATCCTCATTTGCCCCAGTATCCTTGTGCAAGGCCAAATTGGTATAATCTGTAACAGCTTTATAAGCTAAAGTACAAGGCAATTTTTCTGTATTTGCAAATGACACAAATTCTTGTGGGTGGCATTGAACTTAGTTGATAAGGATAGAAAGATCTTACAGATCTGAGAGTGGGCAGATGAGTGCATAAATTAATCACAGGAATTATCATTCACACAGGAGAGGGAGACAGTTACTATAGACTATTCCCTGAAGAAAACTATAGAGACTTCTTTTGAAAGTGAAAAGAGCAGTTCCTGATTGAATCATGACTCAGCATACCTCCTGACATGCAAAGCAGTACCACTTACTTGGCTAATGCTTTGGCGGAAGTTGAATAAGGCAGAAATCATCAGGATTGGAAAACAACAGATAGAGAGAGAAGAAAAGGGAGGTTCTGAAATAAGGATACTGGATCTAAGTAACACCATCTCGGCATCTTAATAGAAGATGAAGACTTTTGGACAACTCTACAGGTGTTAGAAGACATTCTTTGGACTACAGATGTGTTGTTAGTTGTTAAGTTCCAGGAAAGTCATGCTTCCCGTAGATAACTGAGTCCTGATGACCCGATTGTTCCCCTAGATAGTTGGTTTTGCTTATTAGGAATCAGTGTCCTCATCTAGCTTGCTTTGTTTCATGTATAACATTTTTGTTGGGCTGGTTGCCACACCCAAACATGTGGTTTTTTTCTTTAAAAGCTTTGTTTAAGTTCTGTACTAGGCTACAGGTCTTTGAAATAGGAATCCAATAAAGACTCTCAATTCGACCTCTTAAATGTGGCTTCTGTTAACTTGCAGATGGAGTTACCTTACAACATTTCCACATAGGATAGATACAAAGTACAAGCCAATCACATCCCACTGAGCTTTGGGCAACAGTGGTAGAAGTGGAAACATGGACTATAACAGGCTAGGGGTCTAGAACTAGCAGCTCTCAGGTTGGTTGTGATAGAATTAGATGCCTGGTATTATACTCTATGTTTTGCTGCACTGAAAGAATGTTACAAGCTAGATGCCAGTGGTTAATGCCTAATCCTAACTACACTGGAGGTTATGACCCAGAATCTTGAGATTCAATACCAGACGGAGAAGTCTAAGACTCTATATCCAAACTAATTGGCAAAAAGGCTGGAGACATGGTTAAGTAGGAGAGCACCAGTCAAGCAACCAAGCTGAGCAAGCATAAGGCCATGAGTTCAAACCCCAGTATCAGAAAAAAAAATATTACAGACTCAGTAATTTAGAAAGGAACTTTTTCTTACAGTTCTAGAAGCTGGGAAGTTTATTATAAGATGTGGGCATCTAGTTAAGGTCTTCTTGCTGTATCATAATATGGCAGAGGATACCACATAAGAGTGGAAAATATCTCTTCTTATAAAATCACTGATCCCATTTGGGGAGCTCAGCCTCAGAACCTCATCTAACTCTAATTACTTCCCAAAGGCCCCAAGCTTTAAATCACATCCATTTATCCAGTCTGTAATACATGAGCTTTGGGCAACACAATCAAACTGATGTAGGGATGTTGGATCTGGTCCGCATTTTGGCCACATGGTGGATGATAAGGAGTTGAATCTGACGGGGGCCATCTGTCTTGATGATGGAGGCAGGGAAGACCCATCTCCCAGATGATGAGCATGCCTGAATTCCTAGAGACAAGGGTGGTTATTTACTGGATCTGCCAGTCTTGGGTCATGAACTCTCAAGCTCCCTGTGACCCTGCCCTCTGACCTGACCCTATTTAGGTCCAGACCAGCTCAAGTGCCATTACACTATGTTTGTCTCCTGCTTCTCCTCTGGTCAACATGGCATATCACTTCAGCTCCCCATTGGAGTTGATCTGGGTTGTTGGCATTGTATTTCTGCTCTTTCTTTCCTCTCCAGCTCTCATTGCTCAGTTTTCTAACAGTATTAAGTGTATTTTCTGGGTTGCAGATCCTTGTGACAAAAAAGTCCATCTGCAGACCACTGGTTCTCCAATAAAGGATCGCAATTAGACCTCTCAAAATGTGGCTTCTCTGTTTTCTCACTGTACAACAAAACTACAGTATATAATCCACAGGCCCAGTGACTCCAGCATGTAATCTTAGTTACCCAGAAGGCTGAGATCAGATGATCCTCATTCAGTCCCAATGTAAAAATACAAAATATACTACACTTTGCTTGGACACATAGGATTAAAAGAAACATTGTTGGCACTATATAGCATATGACCAGTCTTTGTGGTTACGTTTTCAGTCTTTGTGTTCTGTTCAGGTCAAATCTTTTCTGCATTTCTCAAGATCAATAGGCTATAAAATTTCCAATTCTCCAAGTATGTATCATTGGTGACGTTAATTTGTGTGTGTGTGTGTGTGTGTGTGTGTGTGTACACACACACATGCATATGCCAATACTGGCGCTTGAACTGGTACACACATAGGCCTGGGCATTGCCTTTTTTTTTTTAACTTTTTCTGCTCAAGGCTGACAATATACCACTTGAGCTATATCTACATTTCTAACTTAATTGGAGATAAAGTGTTTCACAGACTTTCCTGCCCAGAGTAGCACTGAACCATGATCCTCAGATCTCCGGCTCCTGAATAGCTAGGATTACAGGTGTGAGCCACCAGTACCAGGTTTTACAAGCTTCTGCTTAACTATTTCTCCTTTAGTTCACATCTCTTCTCTCGTATTTTACTATAATGCGCTTATAGAAGGAGAACCCAAGTTGTACTTTTTACCTCATTCAAGTGTCTCATAGGACACAAACCAGAAGAATTGACAAGAGCTGCTTCTTTTGAATTCCATTAATCTATCAATATTCATATACGGCGAAATGTCTTTTAGAAACATTTAAATATTTAGTAAAAGAAAACTACTATGATGTTTGATGGTTCATATATTCAATAGTTGATATATTCAATAGTTGATATATTTGATAGTTGTAACAACCATCAAAAAGATTTTTAAGCCAGGCACTGTGGGCTCATGCCTGAAATCCTAGCTACTCAGGAGGCTGAGTTCTGAGAATCAATCATAGTTTCAAGCCACCCTTTGAAGGAAAATCTAGGAAACTCTTAACTCCAATTAATCACCCAAAAGGGAAGCACAGTGGTAATGTGCCTTTATCAAAAAAGTTAAGGGACAGCAGCCTGGTCTTAAGTTCCCCAGGACTGGCACACAGAAAAATTTAAATACTAGCTCAAAAAATCTTTGCTGTAACCTGTAGTTGTGTGTCTCACCATTTCACAGTTTCGAAAAGGATGGATTGGGATTGCTAAGGTCTTTAAGTCAAAGTCATTAAGTGATACTCTTTAACTCAGCGCTATACTTTGTAACGCAATCAGCAAAATATAGAGAAGCCACATTTTGAGAGGTTGAATTGTGAGTCTCTATTAGAAAGCCCACGGCTGCAGGAAGACTCCTCTCTCAAAGATCTTCAGCCCAGAACAGAGCTAGCACATAGCTTTTAAAGACAAAAACCTCATGTTGAGGCAGAACCAAGCCTTAACAAGTGTTATACCTAGAGCAAACTGGATAAGAATACTAACAAAAGTGTTACATAAAACAAAGCAAGGAGGTGGGAATGTGGCTTAGTGGTAGAGTTCTTGCCTAGCATGCATGAAGCCCTGGGTTCGATTCCTCAGTACCACAAAAACAGAAAAAGCCTCAAGTGGCACTATAGCTCAAGTGGTAGAGTGTTAGCCTTGAGCAAAAGCAGCTCAGGGACTGTAACCAGGACCTGAGTTCAAGCCCCAGGACTGGCAAAAACAAACAAACAAAAAAAAAAACACAAAGCAAGCTAAATGAGGATAACTTATTCCAAAAACAAGAGTCATACATACGCAGAGCTGGCTATCCAGGGGAACAAAAAGGGGGCAATCAGAACCCCAATTATCTAGGGGATACATGAGCTTCCTGGAGCCCAATATTTCATATTTTCAATTCAAAGAATGTCCTCTATCACTCTAGAGTTCTCAGAAAGTCCCATTTTCTATTAACTTCTATCAAGATGCCAAAGGGCATTACTTAGATTTAGTATCCTTATTTCACTACTATCAACTATAAAATGGAGAAAAGAGATGAATACACTAGGGAATTAAATTGAGATGTTCAAAATCAAACCATTTAGATAAATATTAGTTAATATAAAATGTTTCAATAAACTAAATTAATTGCTTTTTGGAGATGGGGACAGTGTAACTGAGCACAGGCTCTGGTGGGAGATTTTTCTAACTTTTAGATTAAAACCACAATAACCTATTGCCTATTGCAATAAATCAGCAACTTGTTAAAAACTCTTTAAAATATCTTTAGTTCCACATATTTTAATATCACAGAAACATTGTAATTTCAGAAAAGAAAAATCCTAAATCTTATAAGGACACAAGTATGTGAAGGTGTTCTAGGACCAGGAAACACAGATCCTGTAACAATCTGTTTGATAAACTCAATCCTACTGCTATTATTTTCTTTAGTTTGTTGCTAAAGAATACTATTGCCTAAAGTAACTTAGCAGGAAACCTCAGGAAGCCAAGGGAAAAGCAATGAGCCCAAAGCTCTTTCAAATTAAGCCATTCTATTTTAATCAGTCCATTCTGGTGACCCTTAATAAATTATCCCCTTTCCAGCTTCAGGTCTGTCAGGTTGAACAACTTGCCGTATTCCAAACGCTTTAATGCAAGTGTCTGCAAACCAGTAGAGCTGAAATGAGGAGCTATAGTTGGGGATTCTCGCTCTGCAGTCATCCTTGTCTTTTCTTCTTTGACAACACTTCAAATTCCAAAAACCTGGCAAGAATGATTTTCATATTTTAAGAGATCTAGTGCAGAGGGGGTGGGGGTGGGGGAAGAAGGTACTGAAAAGTGTCTCTAAAAATGCAAAAGCTATGCATTGGAATTTTTTTTTTTTAATGAGGGAGGAAAGTTTGAGCATGCTACCCCCACAACAAGCAAGGGAGCTGGAGGACCAGAGGACTGCAGCAGACACCTGTAACCCAGGGAGCGAGGAGGAGGGCGGGGCGGGGGGGCTCAATAGGGTTAGCTCCAAGACACCAATTCACCAAGGCAGGCTGGAGGCAGATGGGAACCCCGGTGTTCGCACATCTACCCACGCGGCCCACCTCGCCACAGACGTCATCGGTGGGTAACCAGGATAGGTCAGAGAACCTCAGGGGCCCCATCGGCGCCACCTCCACAGGAGCCAAGCTACATTTCCCATTTCGCGCGTCTTCGCTCTCTGCCTCCGGCCCCTCCACAAGCTGCAATCCGTCCACATTACAAACTGGCTAAAGCTAGCCAAGCTGGGCGATGTAATGGGGTATCTCCTGCGCTTTCCCCCACACGTCTTCAAACTGCTGCCCACCCGTTACTTTCCCCCACGCGCGAAAGCAAACCAAGCTAACCGCCGCCCAAGATCGGGCGTCAACGTGGCGGAAACGGCAAAACCCACCAATCACCTGGGTCGCTAAGCCTAGGACCCGCCCACCATTCTCACCAGCCAATTACCTTCATGGTTCTTCTGCCACTCCCATCCACACAACCCCGCCCTCTCCCACACACGCTCTCCAAGTTCACTGCCTCGAACATCCAAACCCGCTGTGCCAGGCGCCCTTTTCCCCATCACGAGAGGCCATCTGTTTCCCACCCCCCATTCTAAAAGTGGAAACGACCTTCCTGGTAGCTGTCTCATCCAAAGGCGAAGCGAAAGGAAAGAGAAAACGCGGCCCAGAAGGCCCTCCCCGAGGCATTTTCCCCTTCCCCCGGAAGTGATTCTCGCGGCGCGGTGGGGAGGGGTGGAGAATGACGGCTGGGTTTATCCCGGCATGCCCCGGGCTTCCGGTGACCTCTGGCCCTTTTCTCTAGTCCGCTCCTAGTGCCTGGCGTGCTCGCTCCTCCATCGCCTTCCCTCTCTCCGTCCACTGTGCCTTCGTACGCTGCCGGGTGACTGTGGCGTCCGCGACGGGCTGGGAGGCGGTGGCAGCGGACAGTCGTCATGGCCTCCTCTAAGCCCGTGGAGGCGGCAGTGGTCGCCGTGGCTGCGCCGGGCCCCGGGAGTGGGGTAGGCGGTGGCGGCGGGGCCTCGGGCCCCAGCCCGGGCGGCCTCCCTCGATGGCAGGTGGCACTGGCGGTCGGGGCGCCCCTGTTGCTGGGCGCCGGTGCCATGTACCTGTGGAGCCGACAGCGGAAACGCCGGGAGGCCGGGGGCCGGGGCGACGCCAGCGGCCTGAAGCGCAACAACGAGCGGAAGACCCCGGAGGGCCGGGCCAGCCCAGCCCTGGGGAGCGGACTTCCGGAAGCTTCGGGAGCCCACCTGGAACTGGTGAGATGGATACCCGCCGGGCCGCAGGGGGGACCCGAGCCTCGGCTCCTCCCAACCGCTGGGGCCCGCGAGGCGGGGGGCTTGCCATCATTCGGAAACTGCCGAGAAGCGGCCCCGGGGTTCCCGAGACTTCCCGGCTGGTACCTTTGGAGGGACCCGAATTACAGTAGCTCGAGGGAGCCGAGGAGCCGCCTTCTTTAACCGTTTCCTTGGGATTTCCGTAATACCTTCTTTTGGCTTTTTTTTTCTTCTTCTTCTTAGTGACACAGCACTTATTTGACAGTCGTAGGTGTAGAGCACATTTACGGATGTAGTGTTTGTGTTTACAGATGGAGTGATTCATTAAAATGCAGTCCGTAACAATGGGTACGTTGGAAAAATGGATGGCTTCTGAGTTTGACCGAGGCCTAGAATTTATTCGAAAAGAAGTTTTTAATGACGAAATCCCGCCTTTTAAAAAGCTGTTTTGTTGTTGTTTATTTACATGGGGAAAGGAGGAGAGCTACCACGAAAAAAAGGCGAGGGAAAAAAAAAGAGCTGGCTTTGTTTTTTATTTTGTTTTTATTGTTTTTCTAAAATTATTATACTGGTTGCATTTCTTTGTAATCTATGAGAGTATCTTAGACTGTTAAGGCTGAAATCATAATAGGTTCTCTGATATAGGTTAAGCGTTGGAAGCTCTGGTGAACTGCGCTCTCTGATTTTGTTAAACTATTAAGTACCCTTTTGGTATCTGACAGCTGTGTGCAGAATTAGCCTGGCTGCCTAACAATATTGGGATTGGTTGACGTGGATGTTTTTGTTTGAATGCGTTCTGGGTTTGTACAGTCGTTGTACTGGAGAAAAGCAGGGTTCAGAGAAATTCAAGGGTAAATATTTCCAAGTTAGGTGCATATGTAAATCGCTTTTGTACATATACAAGCTCAAATACCCTCATACATGTTATTTTCATTCTGTTCAGGTTGCAGACGTGTTTTTTGCCATGTAGTCAGTCTAGCATTAAAGAAAATTTGGATGTAGGAATGGTTACAGTACAACACTATAATATTTTATAGTGGGAATACTGTAGGTTAGTGCCTATACGATGTGAAGCATTAGCTAGCCACTAAGAGAGCCATATGTAAGATCGCTCTTATGGGAGACATAAACCTGGCCTATTTCTAATCTTTTTAATAAAGAAGATAAATTACACTCTGGAAGAAACCATGGAGTGGCAAGAGGAAAAGGAGGGTACACTTTAAACTGAGCTCTCCATCACTGTTATTGGGAGAGTCATTTTATCTACCTGTTACAATGTCATTACTGTAGAATAAAATGATTAGAATATAAGATTTCTTGTTACATTGCCTCCACAACTAAGAACAGATGATTGTGAGAATGTCATTTTCATATGCATGAAATTACCCAAAGTCTAGTAAATGAATGAAAAGTACATAAAAAGTTCTCAGTTCTGTAATAATAACTAAAAATACAGTTGCTGTACATGAAACTGTCATTTTCTTACAGTTTCAACCATGGCACCTCCTTCCAGGAATTTATCAAATTCCTTTCAGAATTTAAATTTTAAGTTCCCTTTTCAGTTTTAAATTTTATATAAGTGGTTTGTAGCTTTGTAATTTTATAAAGAATATTTTTAATTACCTAAATGTGCTCAAAAATAGACTTTAAAATGGAATTTTTTGTATAATTGAAATGCTTTAAAAATTACTTACTAGTTTTGACTCCAGATAAAACAGACATCCTTGCATATGCCATTGTTCAGCTTGTAAAATTTTTGTGGTCTTCTACCTAAAATCTTACTTTGAATTTCTGTTTTAGTAAAGTAATAATAAGAATGTGTCATTATGGGGCTGGGAAGGTGGCTCAGTGGTAGAACGCTTACCTTGCATGCCTGAGGCCCTGGGTTCAATTCCTCAGCACCACATAAGCAAAAAGTCGGAAGTGGTGCTGTGGCTCAAGTGGTAGAGTGCTAGCTAGCCTTGAGCTGAAGAGCTGAGGGACAGTGCCCAGGCCCAGAGTTCAGGCCCACGACCAGCCCCCCCCCCCAAAAAAAAAGAATGTGTCATTTTTTTGATGGAAACGCATATTTTAGTTTTTGGTGATTAATAAATATTTAGATTATTTTTTGTCTTTTAAGTAATCTTACAAATATTTTTAGACTGCCTAAATATAATCAATTTGTAATTAATGTGTTATCTTTGGTTGCATGGATTACTCTACTTTTAATAGCCTATAAATTGGCAGCCCCACTGTGTTTTGTAAATAGGTAAACATTTGCTTCATTCAACTCATTAAAAAAAAAAAAAAGAAAACTGAAAATTTTTCTGACTTCTCTACCTGAGCAAATAATAGGTGAAAATTTTAAAGGAATGAATGGACAATAAAATTTGTCCATTTGTCTAGGTTTCATATTAGCAGTAGAGTGGAAAATCCTGTATTTGGCTTTGTTTTTGTAGGTTGACTTACGTAAAGTCAACTAATGAGATTACTGGCTTTTGTCTTTTGGATTTGAAATTTTCTTGTGTAATGTAGATCTTATCTAGTTATCTTTATTTGTAATAAAAACTTGTAAAGCAGATGCAAAAGCTATTCATATTTGTTTTAATGAACATTTTAAGGAATTACAGAGAAGTATCCAATCACAATTGATAGTCTCTGAGACTATTAAGTTATATCCACTTTAAACAACCAGATTTTACCATGACTTGCTGTTTTGCTTCAGTAAATTTTTTAAAAGCTGGAATTACAATTTTTCAAAACTGAAAAAGGGTTCTTTGAAAGTGATCTTGTCCCTAACACTGCTCAATCTAAATTTATCTTCAGGGACTACCAAAAATACTAGCTTCAGAAATGTCTTAGATATTTATCTTTTTCCAACATCTTATGATTTTTAAATTCACTTTTTTAAAAAGCATTGCGATAGTTATTTTAATGTACATACGTAGTATTCCACATAAAATGTTTGTATTTTAATATAAACATACAATGCAATTTTATACTTTACAAGGAGATTCTGTACATCAGGGTAACATCTTAAAGTACAGAGTTTTCCTTTTTACTTTATGATTGTGCACTTCTAACTTAACAGAAAAAGAAGACAAAATCCATTTTATTTTATTTTATTTTTTGCCAGTCCTGGAGCTTGAACTCAGGTCCTAGGTGATGTTGCTGAGCTGCTTTTGTTCAAGGCTATCACTGTACCACATGAGCTACAGAGCCACTTCCAGCTTTTTTCTGTTTATGTGGTACTGAGGAATTAAACCCAAGGCTTCATGCATGCTAGACAAGCAATCCACCATAAAGCTACATCCCAGTCCACAAAATCCATTTTTATACATTGAAAACAAACAACTAAAAAGACTTCATTTCCAAAGTACCTTGTTCTATAAAGAGCATGAATATAATGAATAAAGTAGATCCTTCATGGCACATACAATCACAAAAGTAGCTCAGGATGTTGGATTCTGTATCAAGCTTGGCACAGTAAAAGAGAGGCAATGGAAGACCTGAAAATGTCACCTCAGCTACAGTTATAGGGTCTTAAGCCAAGTAGTGTCCAAACTAACAAGACAGAACAATTATAAGTCAGGTTAACAGCTGGTGACTGGCAACCTTGTATTTAGACCTCTAGTAGACTGGTAGAGCTCAGTTACCCTGTTAATGGTTTAAGGAGATGTGGATCCAGTATTGTTTCTATAACTACAAAGCATCAACTATAATGGAAAAACTTGAATTCCCCCTTAGCAATGGCTGTTTTAAGCCAGGTCTCTGGAATAGACAGGGTAAGCCATACTTAAAGGGATCAAGAACTGAGAGACTTGCTATATTATAATGCATTATACTGAAATAAATCATTGAAATAAAATTGTTTCTAATTATTTATGTTTGTCCTAGTCACCAATGCTGAGCCTTAAATGTAAATACCTTTAGGTATTTGGCAATATTTCACATTTATCCTCCTAATGTTATTATTTTTCACTATTTGCTTTTAATATCCTGAAACCCCCTCACTGATTGATTCTTTGCCCCATTCCACTGTCTACTCTGCTTTTTCCTTTTGAGTAACTTCCTTGGTTTAGTCGTAAGCGTTCATTTATATTCCACACAACATCATCCAGTAGCAGAGCTCTTCTATAATTTCTCATCTCTAACTTAAACCTCTGAGGAAGCCTAACTAAAAGGGATGTTCTTTGGGTCTTAAGTATTTAACACTCCCTGTCTTCTTTATCTAAAAATACCCTTTGT